ATAAATCCCGTATAAAGTTAAAATAAATAAACAAGGCAATTATTGTCAACTATATGATATCTTCTTACAACCATAGAATTTAGTTGACACCGAAATTGATAGGTACAATTTAATTGAATCCCTGTGTTTAATTTAATTTTTTTTAAGTATATATATATATATATAATTTTACGATGATTAAATAAGAGGGTTTTTCTCTTTTATTCCTGTTTTTTGCCTGTAGTTGTCTGCGAGGTATTTTGCCTTGCTTGTTTATTATTGGCAACCTGGCAATTCAATGAAGGATATTCCACAGGTTCGGTTTAAGAAAAAACCTTGTGGACAGACTATAGATAAAACCCCATGGATATTTCTACATTAATTTCGATTTAATTTAGTATAAACTTCATAGTTAAATGACCCTAACCCTAAAGGACTAAATATACTTTCGGCTTCAAAAGTAAAGTCAAAGTCTGTTTGAGTGACGAGCTTTCAAGTGCCTATAAAAAAATATAACTAATAAAAATAAGGAATTAAATAAAAATTTATAATGAAAATTAACACAGAATTAAAACTTTAAAAATAAAAAAAAAGTTTAAGTGGAGTTATATTTTACATAAAAATTTGCTCGATAGCTAGATTTTTATGTAATTATATTCCTAGTGCATATTTATAATTGTTTTTTCTTATATATATTATATTTCTATATCTTTTTTTTTGTATTGTAAAGATTATAAATTCCTTTCTATTTTTTATACTTTATACATTTTTTTTTTTAATAAATATTATTACATTTTCTCTTTTTCCTTAACCATACTTTACTATTGTAATATACTTATATATATATTACACATATAATGTTATTAGAAAATTTAATTTTTTAAAGTATAAATTTCTTTTGTTAATATTAACTTTTTGTAAGCACGCGCGGCGGTCACACGTGAATCTCAATGGCGAATCGAATTTTTTTTATCGTTTACTTTGCGCCAGCAGCAAACTATCGTGCTGCGCTATTTTGCGTTGTGAGGCCGGGCACTCATAAAATATGCACCTGCTGTCTAAGCCAATAGTCTCTTCGCTGCACATGGGCCATAACAAGCTTGTCTCGCTCGATGCCGGAGGCGACATGGAATATTTGAAACGATACTTTACATCGTTGCCATATAATTTATGAACGGTTTCTTCTTTCCTCGACACACCACCCAAAAACTCGCAAAAAAAAAACTAGTGTACCAATTATTGGAGAGCGTTTCGTTAGCGCCCACTGCTTCTTAGGCGTCTAGAATTTTTGTTGTATGTATAATACAGGAGAGCGAGAGGTAACAAGATATATAAATATATATATAATTTTGTTATGAAAATGTATATAAAAAAGATAATAATATATATTAATATCTAACATCTTTATCTCATATTGAAAGGAATGATTAACTAATTTGGGTATGAACACTATTTTACCCCTCCAAAGGGTGGTATTTTGTATATTTAAGCCCTTCAAAAGGCATGTATAAGAGAATGGGAAAACCTCCTTTCTCGATGCTCGCGCCGGTGCCAGCGTTTTATCTTTTTAATATCCTCAATGCTTGTCTTGCGCGGGCATCTTTCATTGCCATGTGGTCACAGCGATCTAGGATATTATTTGCTCTTAATCGAAAGTTAGGTACATCGTAAGGCCAGTGTTATACCTCAGCTTAGGTGGTTGGGCTCTGAGTAGGAGACCTGGCTGTTGGCTATCCTCGGCGCTTTCCTGCAATGTTGTACACTCTTAATAAAGTAACGATTTAACACAACAACGGCGTAGGTTACTATCGTTAAGCGACCGAAGAAAATTAGCCCTAAGGTGGAATTCCTCGTTGTACTCAACCTATAGGATCCGATGTGACTTCAAACTTCACCCTATGATGTATATGTGTCGGACGCCGTTTAAGGAAAAACGGCAAGTGAAATGTAGTCACTATATTGAAGGGTGCTGACTAACTATATTTCGAACTAGTTAACTTGACTTGACTTGAGCTGAAATTATACAGTAGGCTCTCGTAATTAATCATCCTATCTCTTCAGTTATATGATCAGAACACAGTAGGCAGTAACATGGTTATCGTGCTTTTGAGGGAAAGTGATTAGAGTTACCGTGCACTTTGATGAGTCCTAGGGGAGAATAGTCTAGTCCAACAGCCAAAAGTCTTCTTGGACCAATAGACTGCTCTTAAAAATGAGAAAACTAATAAGTCACTTGAGATCTTTAAAAGGTCCCATTTTTATAAGTTCATTAAGGGTTATGGCGAACGGTGTTAGACTAGAAAGGATTTACAACTTAGCTTTTAGCTTACTAACATTCTCTCGATAATCAAACCGGTGTTGATATACTAGGACTATTGCCTACTGAACCGTTTTTTTTTAGACAAAGGTGTAGGTAGGTCCTTTGATTTTGTGTAATATAAGGCTAAGTGGTAGCAATGCCTGCATCTGGAGTGAATAGGTGCGTCCGAAAGCCTGTGGTATTTTCTTGAACTATATCTTTGTCTTGTACTGTTCGGAACTTTAAAGGTTGCTAGCATGGGTATCATAGATAACACTATTTGCATCGATTCTAGAAACTTTAAGATTACCTTGAAACCGGTTCTGAAATAGTACATAATCCTATTATCACGCTAAAAATTGCATTAGTCCAGCAAAGTGAGAAGCTTATGAACTAAATCATAACATTTATATTTAGATTGGCACGGTTTAAACTTACTTCGAACTACATCGAGGCTGAATATATGTACAGTTTGTTGTGGTGCGCTAAAGAGAGCTTACATCTCATAAACGGTAGCGTCCTAGAATAGCATTAGGACATTACAGTATACGGATAGTATTATTTACTAGTATATACTATATTAAACGTGGTCGATCCCAGCCTAATGCGCCTCTGCGAAACCGCTCATTCATTTTGGACAGTCACGATAACCCTTTGGGAAAAGGCACTGGTGAATAATAATTTATTAACCCCCGAGGGCGGGGGAATTTAAATCAGATAGTTTAAAGTGCTTCTAAATTAGACAGTAGTAAGCCAGTGTTGAAAAAAAAAGATAAAAACATTCTTGAAAGGTCATGCCGTTAAGTGCCCATTGACCTTATAAAAAAACGAACACCATAATCCTTACACAACATAAATAAAGTCTTTAGATTTTTTAGCAGAGTTTGACCCTTTAAAGAGAGTTGTTGATAAAACTAAAAAGTATATTTTTGTGGGAGAACCATAAATTTTATTACTTTTTATTTTTCCTATTGGTTGATGGCTTTGTTTATATTTGTTCTGGGTTAAAATTAAACTGTGATGGTGAATTGGAATTTTGTATGCCCTTGTTTCAGGGTTCATTTGTGTATCTTTTTTCACTTCAAAAAAAAAAAATTGTTATCCCTACCTTTTGTTTATTACAATCTATGTTTTCAGCTATATATTTTATATACACTCCAAACTATATATCCTTTTGCAATAGGTTTTGAGACCATGTGAACCGTTTTACAAACTTTTGTTGGTATATCTATTAGTAGTAGTATAAATAATTTACTAAGTGACTACATTACTTTTTTTTTTAATTACTTTTTTTCTTAGCACTTCTAGTGTCCTTTTTATTTAGTAACTCTTTATTCTTTGACTTTATTTTACTTCGTCGAAGCTCTTATATTTATCTGTTTTATAGAATCTATTATATCTTAATTGTTGGTCATACAAAATCTAGATTTTGCAGGTGTAATAAAAGCAAAAATAACTGACGTTACCTTTAAAATTATTAGTAATTCTTAAAATTTAGTATTGTTTGCATATTTATAACTCTAAAAAAAAATATAGCTTTTTAAAACCTAATTTATAACCTAATTTACAAGTTCAACTTAGTTAAACAAAATATTTTAAATAAAGACTTAAGCAAAACCTTAGAGAGATTCACTAAATTGTAGGTGTTAGTGTAGCTTACAATATACAATTATTTTGTAAAGTGTAATACACCTAATTTACTTAGCAACTAAAGTTCCATTCAAACCTAAAAAGAAGAACTCTCTTAGATTACTGTAACCAGATTTATAAAATCCTATACCCAAGATTAAATAATTTACCTAATTCTAACTTAAACTATAAAAAAATTTAAAAAAAAATTTAAAAAACTATAATTTTTGTCTATAAAAAGAAGATTAATAACAGAAGTTCAGCTTTATGGTTATTTTTTAATATAAGCTTTATTGATAATAATGATTTTATTACTTTCAGTATAGAACTGTAAAAATAATTGAAATCTTATAGTATATAAATAAATTTTAGAGCCTTGCTAACTAAAATATTTTATTGATAATAAGGCCCGCCTCATTAATTTTATCTGCATAGGTTAAATAACAGGCCCTGGGAGTGTGTTTATAATTTATTGTAAAAACATTCAAACCCTCAAAACGCCTAACAACCCCAAACTTTTGGAGACCTGAAAAAACCCCGGGGCATTAAAGAACTTAGAACCCAAACTGGTATTTCTAACTTTTCTCGTGAAAACCGGTTCTCTAGGGGTAAGGGCATGTTTCTTTAGTGTACCAACCGATGTAGTAACTTAACAACTTTTTAGTATACACACTATGCCATAAATTCTTTGAAGTTAGTATATAATTTTTGTTAGTGGCTATCACGAGCGTAATTTAATTGGTGCATCTATTTATTCATCTTCCATCATTGGCTTTCATAATGACATCGTTAACAAAAATTCTATTAATTTTTAAACATTTGCTTAGCGTTTATTGCATATCAAATGAAAATAAAATATTGGTGTTGGATCGACTGCTTGATACAAAAGTTCAGCTTTTAGTACAAACGTGCGCTCCTAGCCTGCGTGACGGGAGTGTCAGAGTGTCGGACTAAGAACTCGGCAAGGTTGCAATTCTATACCCCCTATAAAGAAATGTCCATTTTATTAAGTTATTTTGTATAGCTGCAAAATGATGAAGCAATTAAATATTAATCCTCTTTATTATCCTCAAGGTCAGAGTCCAAGTAGAACTGTTCATAAAACTCCAGTAAGAGAATCTACTGAATAAGGCGACCAAACACAATAACAATTTACTTGATCAATATTTTCTTTCGTAAATGCCAACTCGGTAATCTCCTCCAAGTAAAGAGCGTCGTTGCAACACTTTAATAACAATTCTTCCTTGTTATCCCAAAAGGCATGCAGGACCTTCAAGACTTTAAATATTTATAATATTCATTGTAATTGATTTAATTGCTAACTTTCTCAGAGCATAAACGCAGTTACTAAAAGCTTCCCCGCGGGACATTAATAAATTATACAGGGACAAAAACCCTCGAATTTGGTGAGGAACTATTCCTACTTATTTAATCAAAATTAAAAAAAGCTTGCTTCGGTCACCATATAATATGGAGTACCCAAAGGGGTCTCCTCAACTTCAGTGCTGGAGATAGAAAGGTTAACAATATTAGGCAATATTAACAAAATAGTAACGGGTATATAAAGTAATTTTAAAGTTAAATTTTTTTTAGTACTCTTATTTTAGTGCAAGTGCACTTAAGGGTTGTAAGTTCAGAGAAAATAATTAAAAATATAAATGAACTGACCTTTCCGGATACTGCAAAAAGGAAACAAACAATTCAACTGTTAAAATGCTTGCTATAAAGGGAAGGCCTATTTATAAAAAATTAGCAGGTTTCCTCGGTATAATATCTTTTTTAGTTATTTTTTTTTTAGTCAACCTTTTATCCTGTTAAACTAAAACTGCGACATTGTATTACTTATATGTAGATTAAGGTAGAGGAAAGTCTTTACAAAAAGGTATTTTATTAGCACACGATTATTATATTTTGCAAGCCCATAATTGCAATAGCTTAAAAAAAAAAGTTAAAATTATAAGGGACGCCCACCATTGCATTATTATGTATACTGAAGGAAGCTACGCAGTAACATGTAGTAATTAGAGTGCATTCATAGTAGCAAAGTTAAGTTTTTTGATTTGATTAGGATGATATACTAGTGCTCGAAAATAGGCCTGGCCTCGTTAATGTGCACTACTGGTCCAATGTTCTGCTTTCAAAGGATTTGATGTAGATAATTAGCAAAGAGTCACATTAACGGTTTGTATAAATATTACGCTCACTGGAGTCACAACATCCGAGCAAAAGTAAACAACCTTAAATGAAAATAATTAAAATATTCAATTAAAACCTTTTTCTATACCGACTACTATCATTATTTTATCTTAATAATAGTTTTTTAATAACTCAAGCGTTTTTTAAATAGGAGTATCGTAATTTCAATGGCGCATAACCACAAAAGAATCGAAACCCAAAGCGGTATTCATACAAATCTATTAGTTTATCCTCAACAGATGAAGCTTAATAAAATCTAAAAGCTGCTTAACTTTATCATGAGCCTGGCAAAGGACAGTGGGCAACCACCTGCTTTCACGACTATCAGTTAGCAAGAATACAGCGTGTTCGATGACAAGTTCTTCCAACCTAACCCTTTCACTTTCAATAATCTAAATATTTAAAAAAAGTCAACTCACCTTAGTAGGTAAACTTAACGTCTACGCTAGCAGAACCATGGAAATAAATCAATAAAACTTTTCTCATGTTTAAAAAATCATTTGTTAGAAAGTTGCACGATTTTCTAAACTATTGACCAAATGGGAATTGCAAGACTTACTAGATATTGTAATCTCTCCTCAACCTTGACAGTAAACTTCCATGCTTTACTCGTTTACAAAGCTGAACAAAAATACTCTCGTATAACATCGCAATGATACGTAAAAATAGAGCTTAACAGACTAAACAAGAAAAAAGAAGTACTATTATTTTGCTACAAATAATTTTATTTAACTAAAATGTGACAAACCCACCCTAGCTTGAGGTAAAAGAGCCTCTGTAATAAGTACAATGATTAATGACACTATTTAGTTCACGTTGCTTCGATCAGTTAGCTAGGTCGACCTTAACAACATGTCACTAACACTGATGCACTCCGACACCTTAGCCAAGACAGTATTAGTTCAAGGTTACTTGACCTATCACTAGATACATAAGCCAAATGTTGAAATGCACCATTGACCTAACAACGAGGCATACTATTATTAGTCACCGCTCATCGCCAGAGCAGCCACAAAGTTCGCTTTTGTCTTTGTAACTTGCGCCGACAGTGTTTTACTCTGGCAACTTAGCCAATATTGCTAATGTTTCAATAAAGGCTCAAAATGCTCTTCATTTACTAAGTCTAAGAATAAATAGCTTCAGAAGTCAATGCCAGAACACCTCCCTTCGGCGTTATTCTAAAAAGTTCAAGGTTAATTAGCCTTTACTAATTAATAGTCAATACCCTCTTAAGGTTGGTCATAGAGCTATACGGTTCTAATACCAAAAACGAAGGCGCCAGCCGCAAGGCATGTGCATAACCATCACGTACGCTCCTTCACGCAAGGAAGATGACATCTGCCAAAGAAGTCAAACTATATGAAGGTTTTACCAATTTTAAAGGTCTATCTTTCCATACGACCAGTAGAGAAATTACAGCTTTCCAGAGTAACGTGCAGCCCTGAGCTTAAAGCACACCGCAGGAAGGTAACATAATCACGGTCCATTGGTTTGTAATTCCATAAAGTAGCCCGAAGCATTAACTCGGATACTGCCATAATTTGCTATGTATGAGAATTAATAAACCGTGAGCTTCCAAGAACAGCCGCCATGCACTGCCGAACAGAAGAGGGTGACCTTAGCCGCGGCAGATAAGCCTTCATTTGCACGCCATTTCATCTCTGGATAGTACCCAATAGCAACACTACACCGAAATCCATCGTGAAGCCTAAAAGAATACCATCCATGGTAGACGCTTTTTTTATATAGGGATGATTTTTTCCGACCTCTTGACGATAATGGTTTCGCGGCAAAAAGCAATCCTCGCTCTATATATGAGTGTACACCAGCACCGAGAGTTGCTAACAGCCAAAGGCCTTAAAAGAAGTCTAGTGCTACCACTAACAGCCTAACCTACACAGCTGCCAAAATTGAATCTTTAAAGGATAGCCGACGCGTACCTCGCTGTGGTCGAGCTAATGGAGGATGCGACGCCAGCTCCTGCGCTGATACAAAAGATGCCACGTGCAGGAGAGAAAGAGCACACATCGAGAAAGAGCTAATTAGCTTTATCTCTTATACGGGTTTTTAAACGACTTAACTCGTTAATAACACGCCCAAAGTGTCAAAGACAGTGCTTATACCCGTAGAAAGATAGGAGGTTAAAGTTTTTGATTCTTATGGGTAAATAGCACTAAACTAAAGACTAAAATAAGGTGTTGGCTAGGTTTCAACTGGCTTCTTCGCTCGGAGAGTTTTAGCAGTTAAAATTAACACCGTACAAAATAAATTAATCAATATGGTCGCCTTATATATATAGTACTAGTAGCTAAAACTATAGTAACACACATCATTACAGTGGAGTTACACACCGGCCACCAAGTCCAATGAGACAAGGGGAGAACCTAAGCTACAAGGAGAATCAGTCGCCGGCGGCCTTGGAAGGAGGCAAACAATCTTTGCTATCATCGCTCATTGCTAAACTAGGTTTCATGTTTGCTTTTGACCGCACCTACTTGCACTGAACAATATCTTAACTTAGCAACTTAGCACAGTCCACCAAGGCTTCAGCCAAGGATTTCCATGCTTTTCCTCGGTATATTATGAAAAAACTGCCCCGGAAGGCAATGCTAGTACTCAAAGCGGAGCTGTCCTAATAAGTGAAACAGTTGTGATCTGTTTGTGTGTTTATTATTAGGGTTTAGCTATAAAATCCTCTTAGATTTTATCCGTTTAGGACCAAGTCTCCTTAGTGAGCAATACGTTACTAACCATAATGTTAAAACCTAAGATACAGTTAAGATTTAACCTTCCCGAAGGTCTTTACCCAACCTAGAGTTTTTACCAGTTTTAAAAGCAGATCTTTCGACCCGTGCGTCCTTAGTATATGTTTGATTGATTAATTCAGCTAGTTATTGCAACTTTAGAACTCTCCGAAGTACTGCAGAAACCTCACAACACAGAACTCTAATAAGGAAGTTACCATAATCACGTTGCATTGGATTTCACTGTTAATTAGCCGTTAGTGTCATAGTTGATCTCAAGTAGATTGTTTTAGTATTTACTGACACCAAGTTTTGGCTCCTGCAGAGTAGAGATATAAATGACCCGTTGAAGTTAAGTTTACTTACCCGCAGCATTCCACTCTTTGGACGGCAACCCATTAAGTAACCTAGATCGAAACCATCGAAAACTCGTTGGGACTAACGCCTAAGTTGAGCGCTAATTTAATATATAGGGCCAATCTTTTTTGAACACTTTACGATAACGCTCTGGCGGCAAAAAGCAATCTTTGCACCGTTAAAGCATGTACAGTGAAATCCAAATCCCGAAGCTTCATCAGTTAGGTTCAATTAAACGGTCAAAGGCACCAAAAGAGCACCTAATGCTACCATTAAATTGCACCAGCCTGCATAGCGGCCATGTATGGATCTTTAAAGGATAACTGACGCTAGCCTCGCTGTGGTCGCAGCGATAACCAAGGAAGCCTTGGACGTCCCGCGCTAAAAATATGATAAAAAGATTCAAAAGTTAAGATAAAATACTCGCACCGGACGAGCGAGTGCAACGGGGCCCGAGCGAAAAGCTCCTATTTCATATACGAGCGATTCTGATGTTTAAATATACTAGATAATAGCTCTGTCTTAAATAATAATAATAAAGTTTAATAACATTGAGTATTATTAGTAGGTAACAGCACTCAAGAAACGTCACTTAACAATTATAACGATAACAATCAAGGATACTTTCTAGTTAAAAATAATCGCACTTACTTGCATGGAACACGAGCTTAACTGAGTAACTTAGCATGTTCACACAAAAGTGTTCAACAAGGAAATCCGAAGGCCTTTTTAAGCAAATTAGGGTTAAAACTGTATCTAAAAGGAGGTTAGTAGTCAACGCGAAGCTTCAAATTAAGTGAAAGAGTTATTATCTCTTTGTGTGTTACTTAACTTTAAAGCAATATGGTCATAACTCTAACAAAACAAATCTAGTTAGAGAACGCAAAGGCGTCAAGCACAAGGTAAGCACCTTGAATGGATGCAAATAAATCTGTTAGAGGTAGCTATCAATGCAGAATGATAAAGATAAAGCTCAAGGACTTCCCACCTCACTGAACTTAATGAAATTTAGAGATCACTGTCCAGATCTATAGACCACTCGTCGATACTCGGAAATAAGTACGAGATTACTACCACACGAAGGAGATTCAGAAACAGGCAGCAGAGTCTCGATTTTGACTAGGGCCAAAGTTAGAAACCAAGATTACTTCCTAGTTGGTGAGATTATTACTAGTATCGACCTATTGAAGTTGAAGTTTTTAAGTAAGTTCTTTAACCTTGGAAAAGCATAAGACTCTTTTGGATTGAACTCGAATGAGTAAAGTAGGACTCGAGTCGGGATAGCTTAATAAAACATATAAGATGAAGTATGCAAAAAGACACTCCAAAAGGCATAAACAGTACTATTACCCATCAAAGTGGAAGGAGGGGCCGCTACTTTTGTTTGCATTAGTAAAGGAAACAATACTATCATACTACTTTCTCTGATAAGTAC